GGCCACTTGGATCGTACCGGGAGACTTGAGCAAGGAGACAACGAAGACTGAATCCTGCAAGGACTCCCATCCGTTAGGGCGTCCGCGGAAGAAGTTACCGGAGGAGTTGTTGGGACTGCCGTCCATGGTAGTATCGGTGCTATCGCAGTTGATGTTCCTTGGAGTCGGCCGGTACCAGTAGATCAACTTCTCTTCGGTGATGTACTTGTCGGGTGACTTTTCGCCGTTCTTGTATGCAGCGATGAAGGGCTTCGACATCTGGAGCCAACCGTCGTGGGGCCTGAATCGCTGGTCAGTATTGTCTTGCTGGCTGTGAAGACGGCGGGAGACTTACATATCCATGACCCATTTGGATGCGCCATCATCGGTGTGTGGAGAGGCCAGCGGTGCGATGTAGTGCGACTCGCCGTAGTCATTCCAGGTGACGATCTCCACAAACCGAGGTGCAAGATTCAAAATCTCGAACCAGCGGTTGTACCACAACAGATCCGAGGGGAACGCCCAGTTCTTGCTGTAGGATACCTCACCACCGAAGTGCGTAAAGAACCATCCAGAAGCAGCTGTATATCATTAGCAAGACTGATTCAACACATGGACAACATAGAGGGATACATACGGGCAATGTAAGGCTTTCCATTCAGAGCATTGATGTATGCCTTATCGCCATCAGCAACAGTCACGTTGCGACCAGCGCTTGGTGCCTTGTTATCGCCGTTGTTATCCCAGGCCATCCAATTCAATGCTCCCTGGATGTTGCCGAAATTTCCTTGACCAGGGTGAAAGTTCGGTGCGAAGAATACTTCAGTGCCGGCGGCTGACTGCATCTGGTTGATGTCGAGACCATCTCCCGCAAATGAGGATGCGAAGACCTTGCCATCGACCTTGAGTTGAGCCGGCAGGCCTCCGTACTGCCTGATCTTTTGTCCAACAGCGGATGCCTGTCCGGTATTGTACCAGTTGAAGTCAAAGGAGATGAAGACTTTCATGTCATTGCGTGCGGCCGATTCGTACGCAAAATTGAGCTGCGTGTCAGTGTAGGGATCAACCCCAATATTCAACGCGAAGGCATCGATACCCAGGGATTTTGCACGTTTCATGTCATCATCATAGTCCGCAGCGCTCTGTCGGTTGCTAGTAATGCCGATCTAATCTGTCAGTGAAGCCCAGCCATATCACATCCAATGGAATGCTTACCATGAAATGGCAAAAGACCAGTCGGTCAGTCGACGCTTCAGTAGTGCCATTGACCGGAACAGTAGTATTCTGGCCCGTGGGAGCACAGCTCGCCGCGATAAAAAGCCCAGCCAGGGCCAGAACGGGTAACTTGAGAAACTTCATCTTCGGAATATCAACCAGTGATCGAGACTAAGCCCAACAGAATGCAAAAGAGATAAGGAATGACAATGCAAGACGCCTCAAGCGCCTCTAGATCTGCAATCAAGGAAAGACTAACCACGGAAATAGGCAAAGAACGAGCGTGGGCAGTGCAGATGATATAGTTCTTAGATGCAGCTCTTTGTCGTCTCGCAACAAAGGTGCTAGTCAACCCTCTGTTTCAGCAGACTATCTCCGGAAAGACTCATATGATTGGCTTACCTGTGGGATTGAAACTTCAGGTCTCTGATTTTGAGTTGTTAGAAGTGAAACAGCTTCCATTGACGCCTTTTATAGTCGCCTCGAGTCGTCTATATGCCGGCAAATACCGACACACTTCAACCTGTGGTATCATGGGGCCCGAATCAACAACCATCTGCGCCCCGGTGTGCGTGTGTGCGTGTGTGACAACATTTGGCAATCTCCGCCGTCCTTGTAATTTGTCTCCGACTGTCTTACGACCTAGGCTTTGGAAACGGTGACAGGGAATGGATCTATCCACCCGGGCACAGAAGGCACATCCCGACGTTGGCCACGCCACGGGAACAATAGAGTCAACAGATCGCCAGAAGTGATCAAACTAGAATCGAATGAGAGTGAAGAGCATCACCGTAGGGGTCCAATCCCAAGACAAAACAGAAACACCATTGGAGCCCTGAAGGCGCAATGTTTGGAAAAAAAGCCTTGAGGAATCTGGCTCAAGCTGCGGAAGTATCCGAGAGACCGCACGGGTCAGAAAGCCAAAATGCTGAGCCAACGCTTCTGACTGCGGATTGGCTAGGAAATCTACGAGATGTAGGACTTCAATTTAAGCTCATCACCAGCGATTGGGTGGTGCCAAATCTCCGCAGTCGCACGACTAAGGGTGTTGTTGGAGAGTGTCACTGGCTAACGGCTGCCGTCAACACCAGTCCCAACGTACCAATGTCAAACATCCCCTTCAGCCCAATGCAACCTTTTGAACACTGCATCATGCATGAGGGATTTCGATTTGCTTTTTTCTCCATCCCCGGCAGACCATCGCGCAAAGCTGCGGGGTAACCGGGCAGGCAGGTCAGCCACGCGATCCCATCACCAGACAATCGGACCATATGTAGTCCCGCCGCAAACCGGCACCATGCAGTGAGCAAGAAACGGCAGGCATGAGGCTTTTTCTCCAGTCTCTTTTGGGGTTATTGCCCCGGAGTGGCCGAGTTACCTTAATCCAACCCCCTCCATTGCCGTGTAACAGCGAACCTTCTTTGCTTCCATCGAGAGCCCATGTGACAATGATCTTCCATCACTCGTTTGTCCTCGTCGACGCCTGTTGAAGCCTCTCCGGGAGTACCATGTCGTCTTGCCAGTCATGGCGGGTATAATAAGTAGACTCTTCGAGCTTCAACATCGTTGATTGGGCATTAACCAATGGCCCAAAAAGAGAGACGAGTGGCCATCTTAGCAATACTACCTCTATGCTACCCTTACCCTTCCCCGGCAGCAGGACCGGTGATCCCAATCTGTCAAGGGTTTCATTCCTTGGTCGGGAAATGCTGCTGTGGGGATAAGCAGGCCGCTTTCTCACGGAGGGTGAATGCGAAGATATCCGAAAGACATATCGAATGGCAGTAGTTGTGAAATGATTCCTACACCATACTAGAGAGCCTTAAGGGCACGCGGCTATTCACAGTCCCGAGCAAGGATTGGATACAGATGACAATTCCTCTGATTTCTCAATTTGCAGTGAGCATGTGCTAACCTAGAGCACGGTAAAGGCAGAAACGTAGCTCACAGAGCTATCGTCCACCTCTATCACATTTGAACTGCGGTCATATCGGATGAAGCGAAATCTGCCCTTCTCCCCTTCATTCTTTCTAATATCTTCAATACCAGCCATTATCACGCCGATAGGGTGACGGCCACACACAGTGTTCCCTGTATTCTTGAGTATCGTTGAGAAACGTGCGTACTCTCCGGTGGCAATAGCTGCCATGGTCGCAATGTCAACTGCCGAGATACTCTCGTGAATTGGTGGTTCTCGGCTCCTAATACGTTCCCGCGATTTCAAGGAGCGACCAGTAGACACCATCTCCATCTGATCGGTTACACTATCGCCACCAATCCCGGGTTGAGGGAGGCCTGGAGCGGAAACGGGGATGCTGGGCCCAGGGTTAGGAGCCTGGGGGCTGTAGTACGTGTAACGGAACCGCTGCCCCCAATGACAGAAATCGGAGCTGATGACAAAAGCATTCTCTGGATCATCAATATACGGAGCAAGCAAGGTTCCGAAAGCCTTCTCGGTCGATTCAGTAACAGCACCCACTAATATAGGTACCAGCGGCGGATATTGGGATGTTGGCTGGTTCGGCCGCTGGCGTTGTAGGAGACGGTGGATGTAAGGTAGGTGCAGTTCGATACTGTGCTCAGCTTCGTCCACAGAGCGAGACATGGTGGTAAATTGCAATTCTAGCCCATTTCGTGACACTGCTTTGGTTGAACGTAGTTTGGCAATGAACTCGGTATCAAGCGGTAGAGGGTCGTCAGAGAGCGGGGTATGGTATGAAGTGAACTCAGGAAGGGCGAGCGTCGTGAAGTAATGGTGATGTGATGGTCCGACAACGAAGATTCGTTTACTATACATTTATTTACTTTAGTAAATAGCGAGTGAGGCGAGAGGGCTATCACTCACGCCTGTGACAGGTCCAGAGCCTTGTAGGCGAAAGCGGCACATCGTCCGGAGTATGCATAGCCTGCGTGTCTGAGAATAGATCAGTGTCAGAAACAACATGCAAATTAGCTTCCCGATACATACGGCGCAATGATCATTCGTGCACCAGGCACTGGTAGTTGGCCGATGCCCTCGATTTCATCCGGTACCTCTTGCAACCAGTGATCCAGTTGATAGGACAAGGTGGATTTATCGTCGGAGTACCATGAACCAGCATGACTATCTTCACGAGCATCCATGTTGAGCCGCTTGACTTGCTATTAGCTGAAGGGCCTGTTATTAAAGAGACGCTTCGATGGTATATACAGTATATATAGGTATGACGGGGGCAAAGTTGAAGTGAAGAGTTAGGATGATGATGAACAACAGTCGGTGGCAGCTTGATAAGGCAGAAGCGGGGAAGGCGGAACTCTCGTCATTGCGGAACCCGCAATGAAGAATGCAGCCGGGTCCAAGCTCTCAAGACGCAAAACAGCATCGAAGGCAGCATGCCGATCATAGACACTCTTCAGGAAGGAGCTACTAATACCCAGCATGAGGTCATGCAGAACCGGAGTAGTTTCCGGCCTTGTTGAACTAGATTGTCAGCGCCGCGGTCGTTTGTGCCTGTGAGTTTGGAATATATACCGATACAGCCAAATCCCGAAGCGGAATGCCTCTTTGGAACCATATTGTCTTTCATATGAGAAAATAGTAAGTGAATTACTACGGAGTAGCTAGTAATCAGCTACTCGTACAGTACTATGGCGGGATCCAAGGTTCTGTTATCTGCTATCTTTTATCGCCTGCCATCACTGGTATGGACGGATCAATTTACCCCAAATCGGAATAGCGCATATTTTGTGTACTGGAACGCGGTCTTGCTCACGCTTCTCCCGTGACCCGACGCGCCGGTATCCTTCTCCCAACCACACTGGAAAAGGCTACTCCCCAGCCCTGTTATAGCCAACGACTCTATATATCAGCCTGCACAGTTACCCATTGTTCGTAAATAAACTTTTCTGCACGATCAATCTTTCACATTGTCCTCTCATAAGAGTTCTCTGCATTTTCCACCGAGAAATAAACTCTTCAATATTCGCACGCGACACCGGAGATCTGATCTGAACCTTCTCTGCCTCACACCATGTCCCTCAAGCGCAAGGCCTCGGTTCCCAGTCTCACATCGCCCAATCCTGCTCCTGTGATGTCAGGACGATCACTCGTGGCAGATGACTCCCCAAAGCACCTCCACAGTCGCACCCGCAAGCGCTTCAGGAACGATCGCCCGGATGACGAAGTAGTCTATGGTATGTTCTGAAAGATCGCACCTTTCTATCCGAAAGCAATTGTCTCACGTACAGTAGAAAATACAATGCGATGGCTTTTTACGGCTCAGCAACAACAACAACACCAAGCTCCTACTCCTTCCACAGACGAGGACGAGGCAACTGAGCCAGAACCTGTACCATCATCTGAGATCGTCGACCCTCGCCAGCAGACATTGCTCAAGTTCTTCCGCCCTTCCCAATCTACACCCGCTCACAACCGCATGAACAAGCTGGATCAACCATCGAACAATGCTATACCACTGCAAACAACACCCTTTCAATCGCATACCTTCAATATGTCCTCGCCAGTTACCTCGACGGGATGGAGTACGAGTAGTCCACCTTCGCAGCTGACAGGCAGCGATATGGACATGGACTCGGTAACCAACGAGTCAGTCCAAGAGCCTCGGAGACCATTCGGAGGGTTTGGTTGGGCATGACGAGCACTCGGTCATGGCTGAGGTGCATTACACCCATAGCACGCGATACCACCGACATTAGTTCTTTCAGCGATGATACCTTGATTTACTTTATCTTAATATTATAACCACGCGGATCAATGTGCTGGTCATATTGGTAGCGTCACGACACTGTCACTTGATATACGTTGCAGGATCTATCCATCTGCATGTCTTCCATGTTGGAGACATGAATCAAAGCCGAAACCTGCTTCCCTTGCCTGAAATGGCAGCCAAGACACTCGAGTTGAATTCGAGTCAATCTGAGCTATCTTGGCGACTGAGGTGCAGAATTACAGACGAAAAAATGTATATAGTCACCGAGATGTGTTGAGGATTGTTATACTACAGTATATTGAGCGATGCAAACAAGACATTCACGTAAATAGTAGTGTAAACAGTCTGAAACGACTATTTGTGCTATTCTACATTAAAGTATCAAATCTTGAATAGACCTCTTCCTTAAGATGAACATCTCATGAAGAGCCGTTGTTATAGCGTGCCCGATTGCGGAACGTCACATGCGACAAGAATGCCTGAGGTCTCCAGCGGATCTCTTTGTCGCGACCCGGTGACCATCTTTCTCTCCCCGACAACCAACCGGAATCCGTCCAGTCTGACTAGGCGTTTGAGTACAGCTGGCTATAAGAGACTCCCCAATCTCGCCCCTTGATTGATTTTCCCGCCTCGCCTTGGGACAACGCAGAATAGTCTAGACCGCTAGATTTCTTCCTTCTAGTGGTCAAACCCCACCCCGCTTAAAAGTGAAGGTGTGGCTAGGCAGGTTGCCTTAAACGTCAATCGATTGGAAAGAACAGGAAAGAGCACAATGGACGGAAACCAAGCAGTCCAATATTTGGACTCATTGATCGGTCGGACGTTACGAGTGCACGCGACAGATACGCGCATTTTCGTGGGTACCTTCAAGTGTACGGATGCGGTAGGTGCTTTCTGTTATGAGTTCCCGTTTCAACACCTTTTTTCTGTTTGGATAGCTCGGAGGAATATGAAAACCAAGAATACGAGAAAGAAAATAAACTAGCGCCTGCTGACTTGTTTTGGCCGCATTAGGCACGAAATATCATCCTTGCCAGCACCTACGAATACCGCTTCCCTTCCCCATCTACTGTTCGAGACGCCGCCACGGGTACGCATGATTCAGCCGCCGGTAGCGCAGTCGACGCCCAGAGCGTCAAGATGGATATGACGAGTCGATTTATCGGTCTTGTGGTCGTTCCTGGCCAACATATTACAAAAATTGAGTTGGAGGAAACTCCGCAGCAGATTCGCGCGCGGGAGGCTATGAAGAAGTAGAATGAAACTGGCGGTACGCCGTTGCTTTATAATCCCGTCTACCAAGTTGCGCTACGAACATCACGAAAAGCTGTTACACCGCTCGGTCCCGGCTTTCTCATATTAAGGATTGGGTGCGGGCGGTCATAAGGTGACCAATGATGGTCATCGGGGAGGTACTGACATCGACTGGACAAATGCACCTATTAGCGCCGAGTCAAAAAGGCGGACTCTGCATATTCACCTGCGCAGTAATCCCATTCAGTGTCACACATGCCATGCTTGGAAACCTTTACCCGCATCAGCTAGACTGCAACGCAGGCCAAGGCACATCAACCAAAACATGCCCACCACAACGTGGCTAGGAGAAAAGATCGGACATAAGTCGTTGGTGCTTGGCGCAGTAGAAGGGGCTTGGCAGCAGAAGCCATGATCATGACCAGGCTGAGCTGGGGTTGGAGATGGAAATGGCGGTGTTCCTGCAGTGGGGTAGAGTTTGGACCTGCTGCGGACTGAAGTTGCGTCCTGCCATCGTTGTGACTAAGAGGTATCTTGCATAGCACATTATTCTACGCCTCATGATCCGTCGTCGGCCCTGCGTTGGAGGGGTCGTAGACTCGACACCAGCGGGACGGCAGTTCATCTAAACTGGCAGAAGTCTATGACTACATGCGTTCCGGTCCGACCAATAATGGAGCAGGCCGACGAATTCCCTCATGGAATTTTCGGGAGTGCTCGGAGCATCTGAGAGGCTGACAGTTCGGTGATCATCCGAAGATAAGTGGTGCATCCGGTTTTCCAGGCTGGATTGAAATCTGTATGCATGGTTGCAAGCGCGAGGAACCTATAATGCCTTGAAGAGAACGAAGCCAAGAAAAGAGACGGGTGTGATAGAGAGACGAGAACGTGTCTGTGCTGCAGCGTGGTGTCAACTTTTTACTGTATGTACAGTAGTCACGAGGGGCTGAAATGTGGCTCGGTCATCGGTTGGAGGAGGGGAGGGGGCGTGTAAGCCTTTCTGTTCGTCGACACACAACTACTTCTTCCTATAGTCCGTGGTGATATAAATTAAAGAAGAACGGGGCACAGGCAGGGCAAGTTGGGTAGTAGAAGAAAAAAAAATCAAATAGACTCCTGGTAGGGAGTGGTCACTTTAAATTCGAATCTCGATTTATCTCTACATCTATTGATCTAACTATCTCTTTATCTCATTTCAGTGACCCAAAAGATTCTAGGCAGCTCTATTTCATCCTCAGGCCTCCCAAGCCGCCCAAGCTTCAGCCGGGCCGACAGATCCTCCGGGAAATGCCACACCCGCTTTGGCTGCAGGATCGAGACCAAAAACGACAGCCTGGGGGATTATTGAGGCGACATCCAACAAAGCTACAACTTACTTACTACAACTTTCCTACTCTCCCCTTTTTTCCTTTCTTTTTTCCTTTGATCAACTAGACTTTTTCAAATATTCTCCAAATTTGACAAACCCCTCTCCCTTCATTACACAGTCTCTCGTCAGCTTTTAGTGCTTCAATCTCCCCAGTAGTCTGGTGAGGGTGAGTTTCCCTTTCCTGTCCAGTCTGGTTTCATCTCCATTCTTTCCCACCCCATAATGACGCATCCATTCCACACTCTATTATTATGCCCCCTCCCACAGCCCCGAATCTACCCAAATTCTCCGTCCAGAGCTTCTAGCTTTCACAGATCTCCCCTACACATGCCACCCTCAACTTAACTCCAATAATTTTTTTTCTTATCTTTTTTTTTTCCCTTGTCATTTTCTCCCTTTGTATTTGTGATCTTGTGTTCCGTCTGTCGCTGCCTGCTCAAGCCTCGTCTAATCCGCACGTCCCTAGGAGCTCTTTTCGGCGAATCGGAGCTTCCCCTTCCGAGCACCCTACTAGCTGTCGGCGGCTTTCCATAGTGAAGCTCTCTCATCCCTCCGCTCAATGTCCATCCATTCCTTCCGATAACTCTTCGACATCACCGATCTGTCGAATCGCTTCTTAATCTTTGCAACGCCTCCCCGGGACTGGTTCCCTTGTTGTACTGATATTCGTCCCAACTGGCCCCCGTTTATTGCTTCGTTGCATCTCCGTCACCGCCAACTTTCGCGATCGAGGACTGGTCTTTTTCCTGCCCATACCGTTGTGGAAGATCTGTCTCCTTTATATCTGGACTAAACATCTCGGGACTAGGCAGCAGCCAAGAAGACCCTCAGCATTCCGACGCACCGCAGGGCTTGGTGTTCACACTTTGAACGTATATCGCTTGTATAGACGTCCGAAATCGAGCTTGGCAGATATTTCACCCTGCAGTAATGGGTCAGTCGCATTCCAAGGGCAACTCCAGCCCGGGCGACTCTTTGCAGTCGTATCCATCTTTCTCTCGGTCGGATACCAAAGAATCGCTCCGTTCTCTTCGGGGCTCGATCCGCTCGAAAATCCGTAGCAGTGACAGTCCCCGCGCATCGACGTCCGCGCTGTCACAAACGGAGAGCCAGACCGACAGGTCGGATGCTGGCTCGATCAAGTCGGCAGCGAGTCGACGCAGCTCCACCAACCTGAGTACACAGTCTCCTACCGCCGAGGATCCGGGTGCGAACCCTGATGCCCCCGAGCCTCCCCCATCCCCTTCCTTGTCGAGCAGTTTGAAGCGAGGACATCAAGATGTGAGTGCTATGCAACAAAGCGGCGAGGTTGACCTTGTGTCGGACGCTCCTCCCACTGGTGTTGCTCCCGTGGGCCCATCCTCGCAGGCCGTGGGTGAATCTATCCTCATCAAAAAGGACAATCAACTCAACCCCATTCTGGACTATATAATGAACACTCCACTCGAGACAGCTAGTTCACCAGGTATGGGAATGGGCGCTCTGAAGTCTATTGACTTGGACGACATGATTTCGCGGCTTCTCGACGCCGGTTACTCGACGAAGGTCACCAAGACCGTTTGCTTGAAGAACGCAGAGATCACGGCGATCTGTACCGCGGCACGGGAATTGTTCCTCTCTCAGCCGGCTCTGCTGGAGCTGTCTGCCCCTGTCAAGATCGTCGGAGATGTTCATGGTCAATATACGGATCTGATCAGGCTCTTTGAGATGTGCGGGTTCCCTCCTGCTTCAAACTATCTGTTTTTGGGTGATTATGTGGATCGTGGAAAGCAGAGTCTGGAAACGATTCTTCTCTTGCTTTGCTATAAGCTGAAATACCCGGAGAACTTCTTCCTTTTACGTGGCAACCACGAGTGTGCCAACGTAACCCGCGTCTATGGGTTCTATGATGAATGTAAACGGCGTTGCAACATCAAGATCTGGAAGACCTTTGTTGATACCTTCAACTGCCTCCCCATCGCTGCGATCGTCGCTGGCAAGATCTTCTGTGTCCATGGTGGTTTGTCTCCTAGCCTCTCCCATATGGATGACATTCGAGGAATCGCACGTCCAACAGATGTGCCGGACTACGGTTTACTGAATGATCTTTTGTGGAGCGACCCTGCGGATATGGAAGAAGACTGGGAGCCGAACGAGCGCGGAGTGAGTTATTGCTTCGGTAAGAAGGTCATCATGGACTTCTTGCAACGGCATGATTTCGACTTGGTCTGCAGAGCGCACATGGTCGTCGAGGACGGCTATGAGTTCTACCAGGATCGAATTCTCGTTACCGTCTTTTCTGCACCTAATGTAAGTGCTTCCAGACACCGTTCTGAGCCATCTGCAGCCCGATGACTTATCTTGCTAACCACTATTCATAATAGTATTGTGGTGAATTCGACAACTGGGGTGCCATTATGTCGGTTTCAGGTGAATTGTTGTGTAGTTTTGAGCTGCTCAAACCGCTGGATTCCACCGCACTGAAGAACCATATTAAGAAGGGCCGGAACAAGCGGAACAGCATGCTCAGCAGTCCTGTAAGTTGTCCCTTGCTTAGCCATCTTCTCTTGCCAGGTCACAGCGCAACTCCCTTGTGTAACGCTGCCCAGACGCTTGTACTTGGGATGACGATTTTACTCTTCAACTTGGCATTCATCTTTGCTTGTTCGATGCTAATGAATGCAGCCTGCACCTGTCTCTGCGCAAAGCTACTAGGGGTCTTGGTAATTACATGCCAAGCAATCGCCGTCCGCCCATATGTCACCACCAAGGACCTGGACCTGAGCCTGCCATGGCTGGTCAGCGTCCAGCATCCCGTCCACTCAATAGTGCGACCTATAATAAATTGGTGGGGCTAGCATACCGTCAGCAGCAAACGGATGCTGCGCTACACATATCCGTTGCCCGTCGATATACGCATCTCTCGGGTGCCAGCTTCCGAAACTTATTTCACAGCGCCGCGAAGCTGATTCGCAAGACTATATACTCTGCAGATGCAGCAGACACGGGATGTGCCAGGTCCGTTTTATCTCTCGCCACCTGGAATCGATCAATATCATGAAAGGCCTGCCATGAGACGAATCCATATCGGATCGCCCAATAGACAGTTTATAAACCGGCTTACGGTTATGGAGTCTCACCTAGCGGCCGCAAATTTATTGCATGAAGAAAGAAGTCTGACTTGAAAATCACGACCACAAGCCTAAGAGGGAAAGTCACGGGAGTTTGCAATGCACTTTTCTTCTTTCATTGGCGTTTTCGTTACATGTTTACTTTCTGTACTTTCTATGGAGTCTCCTGTCGCCTTCGGGCATTGAGACAAGACAAGATTTTGATGCGTCACGATATGTATGCTGTCTCCTGAACGCAGATCAGCAGGTTCTGGGTTGCTTCGGTTTTTCTTTACGCTCATGCTATGCTACATGGAACATGGTTCGATTTTAACGATATTTGTGGTAGATACTTACAGGAAACATGCATGGCGTTGTCTTGATCCTTTACTACTCTCCTGGTTTCGAGCTTAATCCACTCCTCTCATCTACAAGTACGAAGGAAAAAATCGAGTAAAGGGCCTAACTGACAGTCATCTCACCTACTGCAATCGAGTTCTCAACTTTCAGTATAATACAATCATCCCTATTGAAGTAAAACATACACTCAACATGAAAACATGCCACGGCTGATCTATCATTCCCATGCCCAACAGTTACCAAGCAATCTAAGGGCTACATGGATTGAAGAATTAAGAAAAAACAACTTTTAATCTAGTTCTGATTTGTAAAAAAGACCTATCATGCTCGCCAAGACAAGGAAGAATATCTAATATAATTTGAAGAAAAGAACATTGTAATAATAAAAAGGAAAAGAAAGTAAAATTGAAATAAATATGAGAGATGACGACTCGCCTAAGCGTAGTCCCGGACATAACGACCCGGCAAATCGACATCCCACATGGGTCTTTCGACGACAGCAACCTCCAAGAAATGACTGTCGCTATCACCTTCAACATCATCGGCATCCGAGCCCAGGGGCACGATACCCAGGAGATCACGGTACTTGTAGGTGTGCCACCAGCGGCGGGAGGACTGCTGCTGCTGCTGGTTGGATCTGGAGTCGGCTGAAGCAGGGACGAGTTGTTTCTGAGCGGAGGGGCTTTCGACGTCACCGCCGAGGAGAAGTTTATCCTGCTTTCCGCCGATGGAGACGCGTTTCAGGGGGGTGCTGGTTTCGATGAATTGTCTTTCTCTGCGGAGACGGGCCAGAGCGACGTCGTTGTTGGCTGTGTATGCTTCGTCGTAGTCGTAGGCTTCATCGTCGGCGTCGGGGGCACGAGGACGTTCCTTGTCCAGGGACATCCACTCGGCTTGGCCTTCGTCGCTGCCGACGATCTTGCGCATCTTGGCTGCGAAGAACAGGTCGGACTGGGCGAGGGGTATCCTGTCACCGGCACCGCTGTTGGGTTTCTTGCGGGCGTTCTCTTCCTCCTCGAAGGGGTTGCGTTTGCGCTTTTGCGCGGCGGACTTCTTGGAGGTTTGTGTGGAGGCGTTTTCGTCTTCGTGGTTGTCTGCGGAGGCGTTCAGTTCCTCGGGGGAGGGGAAGTCCTGGTTGAGGTCGAACATCCACAGCCAGGAGGTGCCGTAGAGCCATAGGCGTTCGCGGGCGGCCGATAGGTCCCAGACACAGCCCATGGCGCGGTCCTTGACACCGCGGAACTCTTCGGGGAGGAAGGCCTTCGGGTTTCTCCGGGACCAGTCGGATAGCTTGCCTTCGACGGCGTCGAACTCTACGAGCTGGTGCTCGCTTGTGAGGGCCATCAGGCGGTGCTCGCCCTTTGCGACTCCGTTTAGAAGGAGTTTCGTCTTGGATGGGTTGGGGGGACGGAAGGACAGGAGGACAACGCCGGACTTGAGACGGGGGATGGGGGACTCCCCGGCAGCATGGGTCCAGCGCTCACCCTCGATCACGGGCTGGTCTTCGTCATCGGAAGATTCGTCGTCTGAGCCGGCGGCATTGTTGCGCTTCTTGGGGGCGTCCTCTGCGTTCTGGAGCGCCCAGGTATCGACACAGCCGGAGAGATCACCGGATGCCAGGACCTTGCTGTCGTCGGAGAATACGACGCATCGCACTGATCTCTCGTACTCGCCCAAGGTACCGTGCGAGGCCTTCTCGAATCGAGTGTGACGAGTCGCTCTGTTCAGCTTGACGAGCTGGGTGTGAATGTGAGGCTTCTCTTGCGCGGTGGAGGCCGGCTTGATGCGAGCCAGGTACATGGCACTGTTGGGACGAACGACGCAAACCCACTGGCCGTTGGGAGCGACAGTCACGACCCGAGCACCGTCCTCCGCAAGAGCCTTTGGCACGTCCAACTTCTGTATGCGGAGAGTTCCCTTCTCATCGCCCTTGCGGCGGCGCACGGAGAACAGCTTGATGGTGGATATCGTGGCAACGACGAGGATCTTTCCGTCTGCGGAGAGCATAGCAGATGTGATGTTTTCTTCGCCCTGTTGTAAGTCGTTAGGTATAGACCGCATTGTAACTGGATCACTGTGGTTCTTACCTGGATGAGAATCTTGCCGACCAAGCGATGCCGCTGGCCATCCGCATTCTCGTGCGTCGCAGGACCACGGTGCAACCGCCAGATACTAACCTCCCTATCCCAGAAACTCATTACGAGCCTAGACGCAGGGGAAGATGCAAGTTGGGGTATTTGGGGCAGGCTGGAAAGCTTTCTGTGGTGCTCCTTTCCGAATTCGCGCAGGGGCAGGACAACCGGTGCGGCGTCGGGTCCTAGTCATTGTTAGTCCACAGGCAATATATGTAGCGCAGTGAATCTCACCTCCAGACACGGCAATACTGATATCCCTGGTCTCGTAAACAGCGAAGGTCTTCACATCATGAGTGTGGTAGCGACGATGCATGACCTCAGTCCATCTAGCCTTCTTGTCACCCTTCTCACCCTCCTTCTTCCTATACACGACCGTCCTCTGATCGGCACCACCACTGACAACAGTATCACCCTTGGCGCTCACAGCGATATCCAAGGTATCCGCCAAATGGCCCTGCAGACGCTGAATAAGGGCATAGTTCTTAGCATCCCAGAAGCGAATTTCACCAGCCGAGTCACCCGAAACGATCGTACCATCAGGCAGACACTTAACCGACCAGACGAGCAATTCCTTCGTTCCCCCAGCAGGTCCCTTACCCAGGGATATCGTGCGCAGAAGCTGACCACTCCGAATATCGTACAACCGAATCGAACTATCCGCATATCCCGCGACAAGGGTATGACGGTTCTGGAAAGTCACGCTAAGCACTCTGGACCTCTTCGTAGACGGGCGCATAGTACGCAGATACTTCAGATCATTATCCGCCGTGGACAAGATAACAATCGATCCGTCGGCGCAACCCGCAGCCAGATGCTGGCCCGTGAACTCTCCCTCCGTCGGAGGCAACAATTTGCCATCCTTACCCCGCGTCGCCTGCCACCTGGGCTGAGCAGCCAAACACCAGATCTCGCCGTAGTTTCCGCTCGAATGGCGCAGCGGACGACCCTGTTCGATATCCCACTCCGTCACGGCACTCGAGTATCCGATACTGAAGAGGCGCAGACGTCCAGGCAGCTTTGACCCATCCGGACCAGGCTCAGGGGGGTCAAGCGTCCATGCCAGCCCCTCAATGCTTCTGTCTTTTCCTCCTCGGAGAACTGTCTCCTGGAACCAGGCGCCGCGCAGGGGGTTCCAGATCTCGATATCGCCGTTGGCGCGACCGATTGCGAGTCGGAGCGTAGGGACACCTCGTCCGGCGAGTTCCGCGGAGGGAGGGTGGGAGAAAGCAAGCGCATTAATCGCCTGAGGATTGTAGGGAACGAAACGGCAACGGTGAATATCCATGATGGGCTTTTGGTGGTGGTGATGATGTCTTGGTTTCTTTTTGGAGATTGGAAGAGCTTCGTTTTCTTGATGATACGGCGTGTGGAAAAAGTAGATCCCCGTTTGGCGATTATAGGATTCTACCCGGCTCAGCTTGTAGAGCCGACCGTTAAACAATCATTCCGGTCGATAAAAACGGTTCGTGATATGGTTGGCACAGGCGCGGTGGCTCGATTGGATGGTGCTGGCGACTCTTCAGCTTTTTTTCCGGATCTTTTTTGATACAATTTTTAGCGCGCCGCGGAGGTCCCACCGGCTCTACTGTCACGTGATTTGTTGCGGGCTTTGGTCGCCGTCGAGCATCGTAAATGCTCATTGCTGAGATCTGAGATACGGGTTGATTTGATGTGAATTTCACTAATTATGAATGTGAATATTAGTTGTATTGGCTGGCTTTCATGGTTGTGGGACATGGTGTCGTTGAGATTGTCCTATGCAATAAGCCGAGACGGCAAAGACTGATATCTACAGATATTGAAGACCAATATAGGTTGGACAAGGGTCAAGAGACTACAAAAATACTATGATGATCGATCTGCTCTCTGTTCAGCGCAGTTATTAGGGAGCCTTTTTCCATGTGCGACATAGACATAGATGGTCTAACCTTCTTTGTGCTTTCGGTATCAACTGCAAAAACTCACCTACCAGATATGCCATAGCAAGTATTCCAACAATGGCAATAACGGACTGAAATGTTCGTCCACTACTGCGTGAGAGTGCGCTTGTCTATCACTCACCTCACCTTTCTGGCCAGAATGGCCTAGTCATTCGACATACCCTCCATCTCGGAGAGGCGTCAGCTTGTACTGATAAGCAACGCCAACACACCGGATGAGAACAACTGCTGTGAACCAACAGTTGCTTCCAAGGACTTGACCATACCAAGCTTTGAGCAAGATAACAAACAAGTCCTGACTAGGACCAG